GATATGGGACTTAAATCAACACATTTTTTGTCCAGAATAATTAGTTCAATGTTTGCCCCTGAGCCAGTAATGTATTTTATGGTGATTACTAATACTTTCCTAGAAGCCCAATATATATTTGCAGTTAAGAATGGTAAAAAAGGATCAACAAAAGTTATATTAACTTATCTCAAACATAAGCCTTAAATATTTGGAGAAAATGTTAATCATTATGTCATACACCCAAGATGATGATAAATTATTTTCAATGGATTGACTGTAGTAGGCGCCACAAAATAAATACAATTTTCCTCCAATAAAAGCTCATCTAACTAGATTTACCTATCTTCTTTGTCTCTAAAAGTAGTTGATGGCCATGTATCGAGATTGTAACAAAATGCTGACTTTATGGAAAATCACAGATTCTTCATCTTTGTATATTCAGCACTCAGCACAGTGACTGGCCCACACAGCACACTCAATAAAAGTTTATGGAATTGTCTGGAAATATAAATGAATTCTACACAGTAAGACCTAAGCAAAATTATGCTCTTAGGATATTATGCTGGAGTCAGTTTTCAATAAAATGGGACTGGGTTGGAGGTATTGGGAATATTCTCATACATTGCATGTGTGAGTAAAAATGTATACAAATTTCCTGATGGCAATTTAATAAGATTTTTTTTTTATTTAACAAGATTTTTTAAAAGCTTTAAAAATGTGCACACACTCTGCCCGAACATATTTGCATATGTTTTAAATACCAGCAAAAAGCTGGAAATATCTTCTAAATACATATAATAAAAAAATAAGTGATTAAATAAATTTGACATAATCACACATTGTAATATCTTTCAGACCATTATAAATGATGCTATGTTTTAGGGAAACCTGTTAATTTGTGGAGTGTATAGTGTAATCCCAATTTCTGTACCAATATATGCATGTGAATTTATATACAGAAAAGTGATACATATTAAGTTGTTCTTTATGGTTATCTCTGGATGGTGGATTTAATTTTCTTCTTTTTCCTATCTGAATTTTATAATTTTTCAACAGTAGACCTATATTGCTATTGGCATTTATGCAAGTAAGAAAGTGAAAAACAGATGCTTGGAATGAGATAGTGGGAAGACCACTCACAACTACCAAAATAACAAGTTGCCCCTCTTCTGACTAACCTGACTGATTGCTGCTATTTTACCAGTGCAACTTATAGCCCTGCTTTAATCCTGTCACCCGTCACATAAAATGAATCGAGAAATCCAGTCAACCAGCTGCCCCTGTTTCTTGATAGCACCCAATCCGGAATGAGTTTCTGCTTTGTAATCCATCCTTAGAATCATCAGCATACCCCCTTAAGAAGTGCTTCCCAACCCTCCCTTACTGAGGTGTCTACACTTGTAGGCATTCTCAGACTCTGTAGCACCAGGTTAAATTAACCAAGCTTTGTGACTGGGTGTGTTCCTGGGGGGTTTCATTGCTTCTGGTGTTGTAATGATGGTAGCAATGACGGTGATGAAAGTGATGTTGGTAGAAGTGGTGGTGTGATAGTTATGGTGATGGTGGTGACGGTGGTGGTGATGGTGGTGGTGGTGGCGGTGGCGGTGACGGTGGTGGTGATGGTGGTG